AAAATGAGCCGAATAGCAGGAAATATGGGCCGGCGGAACTCAAACTCTTTGAAACTTGATGGACGACTATGGCTCACGAACGGCCTGCTGCTCCTCACGATGGACGAACAAGTCGGAATTAGACTCGAGCACGAACAGGACGGCCGGCTCGGCGGGCGTCGGCTGCTTTCTTTGGACGAGGTCGCCGGAAAAAGGAGCAGGGGTGCTCGGTGGTCGATCGCGGAAAACAACCGGGGCGGAATACGCAGATTCGAACGACCTGATGATGGTGGCGGAGGAGGATGAAGGTGACGGCAGGACTCGTCGGACAGTGGAGCTCCGCCGTATTGCAGGTACGATTCTCTTTTTTTTTTTAAAAAAATTTGCGAACAGGTTGCTGAGAGAGAGAAATTTGAATTTTGATTTTTGAGAGATTATGAGGGAAAAAGTCCATCGGATATTAAATAGACAAGAGAGAGGTGAGGGGAGAACGTGCAATGTGCGATAAGATTTTCCCAAGAGAATCGCAACCGGATTTTCGAGCTGTTGGGGAAAGAGGACCTGGTCGCTGCGATGTGGAGAAGAGGGAAAATATCTATTCTGCATCGCAAAACCTGGGCCGAATAAACAATCACATTGGGCCAAGGGGGTTCTCCATTTGGGCCAATTTAAGTTAACTCAATTGGGCTGGAATACAATAGCATAGGCCTAGACATGAATTAACCATGATGGGCTGAAATTAAAATGATATAAAGGCTAAGAAGTTATTCTTATTGGACCGAAAGAATTACAACGCGCTTAAATCAAAAGTTTACGGACCATTCGACACGACGAAATAATAAATACATATATATATATATACATCACACAATATTTATTTAGTAATAATAAACAATTATAACACTTAGACAAATAATAAGAATAATAATAATAACAAAATTAGCAATTAGGCACTAAATAATAACGAGTAATAATAATATAAATGGTAAATAAAAATCTCAAATATTTTACAAATAAACGGGGCATTACAGTAAGCCTCCACGTGCCGTTACCAAAATTGTTAGTATAGCCTGCTAGATCCAATGCATGCACAGAGATCAGATTGAGACGTAAGTATGGTATATGTCGTACGTCCTTCAGTGTTATTGTGCACCCAATATCAGTTTGAATGCACACATCACCAACTCCCACAATATTTTCAATGCTATTGTTGCCCATCTTCACTCTACCAAATTCTCCTTCTTTGTATAGAGAAAAGAATTCCTTGTGAGAGGTTGCATGGTATGATGCTGCTGAGTCAATGACCCATTCAACACATGAATCTGCAACGTGACACTCTTTTTCTTCAACAGAGAGCAACACCACTTCCCCATTGATCACAGGGGTTGCGGTATTTTCATCGTTCTCTGCCTTGTTGTTTCTCCAACCTCTGTTCTTCCAGGCTTTGCAGTTTCTTTTGATATGCCCTTCTTCACCGCAGTGATAACACTTGAATTTTCTATTGGGTTGAGATTGTAATTTATCTCTGGATTTGTTACTCCGGCCTCTACTTTTACTTCTCCTCCTGGTTTCTGTAACCAAGGTCTGGGAACTGCTTGCCCCAGAGTCTTTTCTTCTTGTTTCTTCATTAAACATATTGTCTTTGACTTGGGTCAAAGTCAGTTTTCCTTCAGGAGCAGAGTTGCTCAACGAGACCACCAGAGTCTCCCAACTATCCGGTAAAGAACTCAAAAGTAACAGCGCCTGCAGCTCTTCATCAAGTTTCATGTCCATGGTAACAAGTTGGTTCACCATGTCTTGAAACTCGTTCAAGTGTTCTGCAACTGATTTTCCATCCCAATATTTTAGATTTACAAGCTTTTTAATGACGAAAGCTTTATTCTGTGCAGTCTTCCTCTGGTACATTTGTTCAATTTTGTTCCACAGAGTATGGGCTTTCGACTCTGTGGCAACATGGTGGAATATGTTGATATCCACCCACTGTCGGATTAAACTGACAGCCTTTCTGTAACGCCCCGTTCGATTTATATAATTTCTCAGAATATTCTATTTATCGAATATTATTTATGAGATTATAATTATTTTTTATAGTCGCGATGTTGTCTTGAATAAAAGGTTGGAGTACTTGAGCGTTTTATTTTAAACGTTCGTTGTTCGGCGATTTCGGTTTAATCGCGTAGTTCGAACTTAACCCGTCGTTTATGGGAGTTATTTTCGATTAATATTATTATTATTATTATTATTATTATTATTATTCTATTAGTTGACTAATTGATCAATTGCCTAATATTATAATTAAATAAATGTGTTATATATATATATATTAATGTCCCGTTTTATTTTAAATATCGTGCGATCCGAGCCTTGGAATTATATGTTTTGGACCCTTTGTGCTATTTAATTTGGCCCCATTTCGAATTAATGTCTAGCCCAATTTATGAATTGGATTTTCAGCCCAATTATGAGTAAGTTGGCCCAATATTTTTCCTTTTCCTCTCGCAAGTCGAATAGCATATGGCAGAAACCCTTTTCTTCTTCTTCAAATCACACGCAGTCATTGTAATCTCATATCTCTCTCTTCCCGGTCGCGACCAGAAAAGAAGAAGAAAATCCTTCGCTTTTGTTGTCTCTCTTGTTGTCCCTCAACGCAAACCTCCGCGACCACCATCATCATCGACGTTCATCCTCAGGCTGCCATCATCATCGGAGCACCTTCATCACCGCGAGCAGAACTTCAGCAGTCCGGTGATCATCATCCTTCCGTGCGACTAGAACCGGCCATCCCCGAAGTCACGCAACAGCCATCTTCGGCGATTCCTTGCGTGTTCCCACGAACCCTCGCCGTGAACCAGCAGTTTTCCGACGTCGACCAGCCCGCTCGCGGCAACCCTGTTCGTGTGTTGCTGTTGTTCGAATCGTCCCGAGCTTGATCGCTGCAGTCCCGACGGTCCCGTGATCCCATTAGCAAGCCCGTTCGACCTTTATGTTGCCCGTTTCGTAACCCCGTCCCGAGAACGGTACCCGGGCTAACCCTCGACTAAATATTTCGTTCGTATATATGTGTTTAGTGCTCGTATACGTGTTCTCTTGCTGAACGTGTGGGTTTGACTAATTATATGTCGTAGTTGAGCATCTTGTGTAGTTATTGATATATATGTTGAAATTGGATACCAAAGTGATTGCCGTCACTTTGGAAAATTATCAAACTGTGGTTAATATGTTAATTCTCGTGGAAGTGCTGTGGATTATTGGACATAGGAATGTCCTTGACACAACGGCTTTGGCCTTGCGTCGTTTCGATATGTATATTGTAAGTTATGGATTTTTAAAAATCGTGCTGCAACTCGTTTTTGAAAAAAATCACTATAAATCGAGTATTACTCCAAAAATTTTGATTTTTGGATATGTGGTTACATTGCTGATATATTACATGTAGATAAAATTTGAGATTTTTATATGGCTTGCAGCCTTGTCAAAACTCGAAAACCGTTTCTAGACTATTTCGTAATAAATTCATGTAAAATCGAGTTCTCGTCCAAAATGGCTAATATTTGGATATGTTGTTGCTCTTAATGATATCTGGTTGCTGTAAAAATTTCCAATTAAAATTCAGACTGTAGCTATTTTAAATGAATTAATTTGCATTTCTGGCCAGATTTTGCTAAATCTATTTAAATCGGTTAGGAGCATGTTTAGGGGTTTTCCTTTGGTGAAAATGTGTGATTTTCAGCCATTTATATGCTGTAAAAATTTGAACTGTAAAGTCCAAGCCTAACCCCTTATGGTCTCATTCAATTTATTTTGAACTAGTCCTTTTTAATCGTTTTTGGCTTGTTGACAATTGCTTGACCCGTTGACCCCGTTTTTATGTCAAAATTTCATTTCTTGCTTTTATAAGATTATTTAATTGGTTGGTCGAGTCTAGGAGTCGTCCTAATGTTCCAACTCCACAACTTCCATGAGTTTCTTAGTCGAGGTGATTCGACTAAGTATAATTCCCGTTATCTGTGCAAGAGTCGAGATAGTTGCTTATGGGACTGTCTTGACCTATGTAGGTGTCTGACGAGCAGTGTCTCAACCACCTACGACTTCTGGTTAATTTACTTGATCAACCGATTCCAGGTGGGTTTTAATCTAAAATTTGCTATGTCGTATGTGTTTCTTTAATGTTGAGTTGGTATGATTTAAGTATGCATGTAAAACATGTAGCCTATCGGCGTGAGCCGATTCGGCCGTCGGTACGGTTGTCCCCGTCGATGTAATACGGTTACCCTTGCAAGGTAAGTCTCTGTAAGACCTAATGAAATGTCGTGTCTTGTTGTATGGCACGTACCCCCATGAGTTAGGGTAATGAATCCCCTTTCCTTGGCTAATGAAAGATGTGTACACGTGGGTAATATGTTGTGATTGTTGGGACATATGAGGATCTCGATATGCACAAATCACGGACAAACATTCAACATAAACCTATGGGCAGCGGATCTAAAGGTTTGATGAAGAAAACTTACTGCTTAAAATTTATGTAGATCTGGTTGGCCCGAACAGTTGACCGCAAATCAAATCTTCTCGGAATCGAACGAACTTGACCAATCTAGAAAGCTGACGTCACGGCGAAGTCAACGGCGTTGACCGATCGGAAATCGGAGGTCTCACGCGTCGGTGCAAGTCCCAGCAGTTGCTACCTTCTGGTGGCGCGTGCGGGCGTGTGCGGCGGCGTCCGGCGGCGATCTCGACGGCGATCTCTTCGTCTCGTCGTCCTGGTCGTCGTGGTATGGTCACTTGCTGGTTTTGGTCTCCGGTTTGGATGTTTGATCAATCTGATTGGAATCCCGTATATACCTTAAGATCTTCTACTGTATTCTCAAACAGCTATCTAGATCTTGTATCAGTGGAGCACAAGAAATAGAACTACTCCTTGGAAGAGAGAGAGAGAAAGAGGGCGGACAACTTCCCAAAGTTATGGGATTGTGTTTTCTTCTTCCATGAGCCTAATGTTGTATATATAGAGCTACAGTAGGGACCCTAAGGAGAATAGGATAAGGGCTTCTAATATATTAATACTGTGGAGCAACCCCACAATTAATATATTAATAATATTAAAGTCCACCACAATAATATTATTGCACTCCCCTCACCTATCCCAAATTACATTTGAGACTCCGTATTATAATTATCCGATTTACCTCCCCATGTTTAAGATATAATGTCCATTAATTAATTCGATCACTAATAATCAAGAATTAATTAATATATTATATTACCGAAGCTAGCGCTCGCTCATAGCATTCATATTATGCCGGAATAAATCCACCTGCAGGGTTTAGCATAATATTTCTTCATGAACTCACTTCGGGGACATCATCATACTAACGCACATGGTGACCGTAAATATCCTAATAGCACATCGAACACACAATGTCATTACCTAATTCATTAAGTATGTCGACCCAGCTTGGATCTCACCCAAAGAATCAAAGCAACAACAATTATGTGCACATGCCTATTTAATATCTTACGGGTTAAGAGCACGCACTAATTAACTGAGGCCTAGTTCGTTTACGACGATCAGTACAAAACGAACATCCCTCTCTGGGATCCTGTTCAATACATTAATGTACTAGCGCAACTAATCGGTCAAGACAAACCGTACGGTTGACACTACAACCGTTCCGATGGGTTGTTCAATTCCATCTAGGTTGTGAACCAACGATTCTTGTTTCGCAAGTAACTGATATAGTGATCTTCGGTACGCCCGATGACGACCCACTTATCTACATGCAAAACAACAGAACGTGGAACTTATTTAACCAAACATAATTCTCATTCATCAAGGAATAACAAGTGTAATATCCACTAAAGCAAAGCTTAAGTATATAACACCAACAGTGATGTGATTAGGAGACGTGACAGAATAATTGATTTATGTCCATGCTGTAACCATACCTCCTTTACATTATTATTGATGATATATGTGCATAGTGGTGAGCACGCTTTTCATCTTGTGCTCATCCCCACCTGCTCTTCACCGATGCAGGTTAAGCAGGAGCTGGGTGACGAGAAGAGGCGAGTGGGTCGGTCATGCATTTATTGCTTCCGTTTGAATAAATAAAAATGTATGAACCTTTATGTTGAGACTTGCTTAAACCTTTTTCCAAAACTTATGACTTGTTTGTTTTTGGAAAACTTGTGGAACCCTTGATTATTGGGTATGATGATGTGGTTGATTATTCATGTTGAGTATTAAGTCTCGTATGATATGTTCTGGTTAATGAAAACCATTTGTGAAAAACCAGGTAATGAATCCCCGTGGGCCCAGATATGACTTGGGTTAAGAAAAATGTTGTTTAACACCCATTGGGTTTCGGAAAAGATCTCAAAAAAATAAATACTGATTTTGGAAATGTCTGGAATTTCTTTAAAATCAAAGTGGGGTGTTACAGTTTGGTATCAGAGCCAGTCTGCGTTTTTGTAGACTGGTTTATATGTGAATATGTGTTTAGACCTCGTAATATGACCACTCGTCTCCGTCACTCCGCGCTGCTTAAGGTATGTTTTATATAAGTATTAATGAAAATACTTATAATGAAACGAGTAGCAATGAAACTACTTGTGGTGTTTTACATGAGTAGCAATGAAACTATTTATGAGGTTTTGCATGAGTAGCAATGAGACTACTCATGAAGTGATATATATGTTGTTTTGGGGCTTAGGAAATCTATCCATCTCAGGTTATGTGAACTCTATTGTTTGACATTGAACTCTAGTAATATAGAGTTAAGTTCGGATTATAGAGATTCCTAGTTGTGATTTTCAGTATATTATCATTGAGATAAGTGCTGTTTATAGCATTTCTCGCTATTAGATTCGTTTCGTGTCCTTAGAATAGGACCATTTGTGACCCATCTCGAAAGAGAAAGGTTAAGTACCGAGTGAATTTCTAGTGTATGAGATCACTCGGGGAATTAGAACCTCAGTCGTCGAGGACCAGGAGTGTCTTTTAGATGTCGCGAATTGGTTACTAATTGACCCTCATAA